GTGTGTGTGTGTGTACCTATAATGTGTTTTGCCTAGTATTAAGTAATCTCTCCTTTTCCTTGTAGAAGTTACAGGATTCCTGATCAGGAATGAAGAGCTGAGAAAGTGTGTACAGGTAAATGAAGGTCAGGTCAGCAGCAGGTTAACCCTGCAAGAGTGCAGAGCAGATTCGACTCTGCAAGAGTGGCACTGGAATCCTGAGACACGCTCCCTCAGCAACCCACAGACAGGAGGGTGTTTAACTGCACCTCAGATCCAGGAGCATGAGAGTGTTTGGCTGCAAACTTGCAGCTCTGAGGATGAAGATCGTGAGGGCCAGACCTGGAGCTGCTCTAAAAAGAGTCTCCTGACGTTACATGGCAAGGGTCTGCACCTGAGCATACGTCACGATTCCTCCAAGGTCTTCCTTTCCAAAGATCGTGGGAAAGGCAGCAAGTGGAGGACGCTGGCAAATCAAACGGTATGCGAGGAGACAGACAGCACACATCACGGCCAGAATGTGTTACAAGATTCTCAGCAGACACTTTCGACTGGACCCCGAATCCTCACACAAATTCGATATTGGCATTGTAAGAGAAGTAGATTAGAAGTTCTTCATTAATGATGGGTCTGTGTTTCATGTATTCTGCCATCCCATTATTGTGATTAATGACGTCTCATCTACTTCTTCAGTTAAAGCTCAAGACTGCTGAGTGTCTGCTATCATTTCTGTTATACCAGACCATATCATCTTCTGTCATGTGTGTGTGTATGTTTTTTTTTACTTGCCCATCTGGTCATATTCATTTGTACCAGGGTTCCCACAGTACTGAAAAACTTGGAAATATCAAAACAGTCATGGAAGCATAACATTTTTGGGGGGGTTTGAAGACTCATGAAGCCTCAAGCTGACACAAATAAGTTATTATTAATCATTAATTTTATTAATTATAAATTCATTATTTATTATTTTGGTACCTGACATACAAAATGCATATCCTTCCCAGCAATCTCTGTAAAATTTTAAAATACTTATGCAGGACTTCAAAATTAATTGGTCAAAAAGGGTGGGAACCCTGTGTACTATGTCTATTCTGCTTCTAATAATTTCTATGATATATTGCATGATTGTATCTTTATAATTTCTTTATTTTATTTAATTTTTTACATAAGCTGGGAATAATGACCAGACCTCCATATTAAAGTCCACTGAAGCAACACAGACATCAGATGCATCGGCTGAACCTCAAAGTAGCATGGAGCCTGATGGACCTTCTGTTAATGTGTTTACAACAGACTATGGTAAATGTGGAAAGAGCTCATCCGTTTCTGAAAAAAATAAAATTTGTTTTATCTGTTAAATCAGTCAGGAAATATGGTATAAACAAGCAAATGTTAAAAACACACTGATCCTTAAATAGTTAATCTGACTTATGTCCACATGAGGGCAACAGAGGAGAGGAAACCTAAACACGGTGCCATATCTTTGGTGATTAGCCAAAGAAACAGTGATAAGTTCAGTAATGAATAATGACAGAAAATAAGTTTCAAAAAAATTGTAATACACAAAATAAGAATATTAGTTTGTGATATTGTATTGTGTTTAATAACAGGAACAGGCTGGAAAATGACAATGTTGCTTCTAAGCAGCTTGGCCCTGTTACTTGGGCTTGTGATCCTCACTCTTAACATCTACCAGAACAGGTAAGATATTTCTCATTTTTGGTAAAAAAAAACTTTCAAGGCCTTCTCAATGCAAGACTTTAATTTTATGCATGTAAATACAGATGGAATTCATTTTTCTTTGAAATTAAACTGATCTATGAATATGCTCATTGAGATTTCATAACAAGGAATGACTCAGCAACATGGTTTTCCCCCTTTAAGGGTCACTGATCTATTTTCTGTCTTCATGCACAGGAGGAAGAAGACTGTGGTGGTGCTGAAATCCTACACTCCGACAGGAGAGGCGAGTCTGCCAGGGTCCCCGGTGCCTAGTGAGAGAGCCCCTCTAACCCGACACCCTATGAAAACTGCTCAGTCTCCCTCCATCCAGCGAGGCGAGATCCTTGTTGAATGGAAAGATGGAACAGTCACCCCACTGTTTGAAACATATCTAACTGACTAAGTGGTGTCTTATAGAAGAAGTGGCTTTGAGTAACTTGCGTATTGTTCCCAAGCAAACTGACAGACCTGCATTGGTGGCTAATTAATTGTGATTGAGCAATAATTTTTCAAAAGAGGGAAGGGAATCCAGGGAATC